AAAAACTCCAAGAACACCAAATTCAACTCTGAAACCCACCCACGAGAATATTAATTATAATATCCAAAAACAAAAACCAGGAAAGAAATTAAGGAAAACAAACCTGTGGGAAAAAATCGAAATAGAGGAGAATAATAGATGCAAGCAGAGGCAGCAGAGCAAGGAGCCTGAGTTTAGCGGACTCCATTTTTCTCCGCCAACCTTACCTTTCTCTCTATTCTTCTCACTCTCTTGAGACTCTAATAAATATAATTATAAATAACTATAATAATAATTATGTACACTGTTTCCTGCGTATCAAATCAATCGATCAATCTCTTTCTGACCTATTTTAAGTGTTCTGCTATTTCATCTTTCTATGTGTGAAAAAAGATAAGAGGGCCAATAGTGGCCCACTCCAGATTTGGTGGAGCCAATAGCAGTTAAGAATCTCCGGTCTGAATCTCGAACCGGCCGGTTCATTACTCGAAGATGGGCTTTTAGCCACATTTATAGAAACTACCGACCTATAGTGCTTGGATAATAAAAATATTCAATAGAAAACCAATTACTTTTGACCCGTTTTTTTTTTTTAACTCAAATCTTCTACTATTACCAATTTAATTTAATAATATCAATCTATCATTTTTATATATCACATCAATTTTATTTCAATATTCATCCATTCACATAATTTTAAACATTCATAACTTCCAATCAGTTATGTCCTACTTTTATATCAAATAACTTTTAATCATTTTATTTTAAATATTAATTTAATATAAACTCATAATGATACTTAAAATTAACTCAACTAATTTTTTCAAAAGTAATTATGGGTACCAACAAATCCAAAATAACTCAAACATAAGTCATATCGAAACACTCTCATATATGTTGTTAATCTAGTTAGACAAATCTAACTATTAGATAATTATATTTTTTAACATATAGTTATACTTATGTACATATGCGAGATACTTTTAAAGACTACATAAATAAAAATATGAAACTGATATGCATCTTAACTAAAAAATTAGTATTTGATCCTGTGCACATGCAGAGAGAAATAAAATTTTATATATTATATGTACGTATGTGTTATTGTATAATTATAATACTAAATAGGAATATTAGTAAAAATATAATTTAATATTATATATTTGAAAATTTTAAAATCTTGTAAAGTTATTACAGAATAAAAAATTAATAATAATAAGATTTTACTTGTGTAACTGTCATTTGAATGGTAGTCATAAAGATTTTTATTAAATGTTGAGGGAAATAAAATTTTATATATTATATGTACGTATGTGTTATTGTATAATTATAATACAAAATAGGAATATTAGTAAAAATATAATTTAATATTATATATTCAGAAAATTTAAAATCTTGTAAATTTATTACAGAATAAAAAATTAATAATAATAAGATTTTACTTGTGTAACTGTCATTTGAATGGTAGTCATAAAGATTTTTATTAAATGTTGAACATATTTTTATTAAATGAACAACTATTTTAATTAAATGAACTCATATAATTATTAACTAGTACAGAGCCCATGCGATGCACGGGGTGCACAATTTTAAGACTATTTATATAGGCTTATAATTATATACATGAATAAAGAGAAATGTACGGATATATATAGTACGTGACCCGTGCGAAGCACGGGATATATTTATTTGGAGAATATTATATTATAAGATGCAATATTCAATAAAAGTTTATAATACGCAAGTAAATTGTACAATGTTCAATAAAAGTTTTATAATATTCAAGTGGAGTCTTAAAGTCTCTTGTACATTAAGACTATTGACAAAATAATATTTTAATCAATGAGTTTCCTTTCCTTGTAGCCAAATTGTGAATGTGATTTGAGGAGTACAACAAATCGATATATAGCTGACTTGCTTTTTTCATTGTAGTTTTTTTTTCTTTTTTTTTATAATGAATTTAAAGATATTCTAAAATATAGCAAAAATTAATTTTTTTATTACAATTAGGAATTTTACTAAATATAGACTCTCAATCTATGGTGCTAATCAACGTTTAAGTCTAAAAAATTATGAATTTTTACCTCTTTTAATCAACGTTTAAGTCTAAAAAACAATAGAGTTATTATAAGTTTTTTTCTACATCTTTTAAAACATTAAATATGAGCATATTAGGGCTAGCTTGTAAAATAATTAATATATTATCTCACTAAAATATTTATACTAATAAAAATTTAATTTTAGCATATAAATTTATCCATTGATATAAGAGAAAGTAACAGTTTTACTTATTGTTGTTCACCATATAATATTTAATTATTATTTTATTATATAATAAAAAATAAATATTGTTAAATAATGTAGTAGAATTGTTATAAAATTATATGATTTTTCTTTTTTTTTACAATATGGATTTAATATTTTTTTATGATTTGATAATATAAACAAATCTATACTTAACTTTGACAAATAAAACAAATAAATACTTTAGTAAGTATTTAATGTATATACTAAATAGGAATATATTTGGTATAATCAAATACCAAATATAATCAAATAAGTCAAAGTGTACATTTTTATTTGGTATTTGATTTTTTTTATTATTAAAATCTTTTTATTATACTTACCTTTTTAAAATAAAATAAATAAATAAATCAATTAAATAAATAAAATATTATAATACCAAAATAGTAATGTCATTTAATGTAGTTGACTTTTTTGGATAGTAAATGTAGTAAATAGAATCTCCTTTTATATAAGTATAGATATGATATTATATTATGTTGCTCAAAATAGTAATGCATTTATTGCATTGACTTTTCAACTTACTAAATTTTGTAAATGGTACACTTTATTATATAAGTATAGATTGTAGTTGAATAAAATTTATTGAAGTTTACCAACAAATATATATATATATATATATATATGTATAGATGGGTAGTATCTCAGTGCATGTGTCGCTTTTAAAATCAATGCATAGAAATATGAAGGGTTGTTGGGATATAAGATTTTTTTTATTTGACTTTTTGGTTAACCAGTTTTAAAAAAGTTGTTGAGTGTGGTCTGAATAAAGTTTTAAGTTTGCATTAACATAATATTTAAAATAAAATAATTAAAATTAATTTAATATAAATAAATAGTAAATTAAGAGATGATGAGGATGTCGTGGGTAAGGAAGATTATGTAAGTAAATAAATAGTAAATTAAAATATATGTGAGAATTATTAATTGTTATCATTTAATCATTTTGATAATATTAAAAATGATGGAATTTGTTAAATCGAAATGTTTATTTATTTATCTGTGGAATCAGAGATGGAAAATTGTTGTTGAAAAAACAAAAGAAAAAACATAAAAATAATCTGTTGCCAGCCAATGAAATTGGTTGCAAGTTGTGGACCCGTGACTTTGGTAATTGACCTTATCTGACCACCATGTTGGCTAATTAACCAATGCGAGATTCGAGTGGCCACAAAAACAAAAGCAAATTCAATTTTTTGCTTTTGACTCGGTCAACGGGCTGGTTCTGCCCGTGATGATGTGACATATGTTTACAAGTGTGTGCATATATTATTATGTTACAGTAAAACGGCTCAGCTAAGCAGTTGACTGTCATAAGAGGAACTAAAATTTAAGATAATTGAATATCTTTATATTACAGTTTGGTTCACTTTAAATATTTCAGGCTAGCTTGTTTGACATGGATCAAGATAGTGAGGTTTTCAATTTATTACTCAGAAAAAAAACAAAATTAATTTATTAAAGACTTTATTTTATTTAGGAATGAACTTTATGAAAATCAAGAAAAGAAAAATATATGAGTGCAAACTGATGTTGGGAATCTGAGTGCCTAATATAATGCATATGATTTTGAAAAAAAAAATATTTTTTTTTATAATTTTTCATATTATTTTAACTATAAGATGGAATAAAAGTAAAAAAACAAATGTAAAAAAATGTCATGTCTAAACTTTTGGAAAAATTAAATTTATGTTAAGTTTTATTATCACTAGATGATACTAAGTATTTTGAAAACATTTAATTAACCAATCTAGGACTAAAGTTAGTATTGAAACAAAAGAGGTAAATTCACAACACTTGATAACNGGTATAAATGCATGTGTTAATAATCCATTTATTAACAGACCAAATAGTCAAGACTAGCTCTGCTAGATCTGACTGATTTACGAAAGGAGTTCTGAAGTTGTTCAATAGATATAATTTTTTGTTTTAACTAAATAAATTAAAACGAATCACCTCAATCCTCAAACTAAGTACGATCACAAGATTCTTACCAAAACACTACATTTACCCACACTTCTAATCACAACATTTATCTTCAATGATAAATTTCACCTCACATACGTGTATGAAAAGCACACATATTTGATTATATATGTTTGTGCAGTCAACTGTTTGCAACTAATTAATTGAGATGTTAGTTTAATGAAATTAGGCAAATCACAAAATATAAGACTTTATACATTTTTTAGTACTTGAGTTATTACTTATTAGAGCATCTGCGTTGGTCCATTAATTTGGACCATTTAAATGGATTGGTCCCCATTAAACTAATGCAGACATTCATTAATTTGTGGGGCCAAGGCTATCATTCAATGGTGTTAGCGGCTCTTTTGAGCCTCTTTTATTTTTTTTAAAAAATTTTTTCCAATTGCTTTTTTTCTTTTTTTGTTAACGGTTCTTTTGAGCCTTTTTTATTTATTTTTTATTTTCTTTCAGCTACTTTTTTTATTTTTTTTTCCAGCTGCGTTTTTCTTTATTTATATTTTTTATCCTCGTTCAATAGTGTTCTTTTATTTTCATGCATTTAAAATTTATTATTATAATATAAAAATGTTAAATTTTAATTTTTATTGAGAATAGAATATTAAAAATTATATTGAATGAGTGGATATAATGGGTCCCATATTTATATTTAAATAAACTAATAATCAACCTGTGCATTTGCACAAAAAATAATACTTTAAAAAGATAACAATATAAAAAAAATAAATAAATCATAATTTAATTCATGAAAAAAAAATGAATTAAGAAAATAATTCTCAAAATTAATTTTGATCAAGTAATTGCTATGGAAGAGCTGTTACAACCATTTTCTTTATGCTAATACATCAGGCCATTTTCATGAGTCGGTGTGACTTAAAATTTGAGTACAATTTTGTAACTCCCTTGATTGGTTTATTCTCATAATTTATGGCATTTAAGCAAGTTATTTTGTAACTTAAAAATGAAATTGAATGTTGAAAATTTTGGAGGGATAATAAAATTTAATGCATGATAATATAATTAAATGCTATGTTGCTCATCTTTATATATATTAGTAATCAACCTGTGCATTTGCACAGAGACGAATACTTTAAAAACATAAAAATTAAAAAAAAATAAAAATAAATCATAATTTAATTCATGAAAAAAAACATAAATTAAGAAAATAATTCTCAAAATTGATTTTGATCAAGTAATTGCTATGGAAGAGCTGTTACAGCCATTTTCATTATGCTAATACACCCGACCATTTTCATGAGTGGGTGTGACTTAAAATTTGAGTACAATTTTGTAACTCCCTTGATTGGTTTATGCTCATAACTTATGGCATTCAAGCAAGTTATTTTGTAACTTAAAAATGAAATTAAATGCTGAAAATTTTGGAGGAGGGATAAAATTTAATGAATGGTAATAAAATTAAATGTTAAGCTCCTCTTTATATATATATATAGATATATAGATGTGTAGGGATGTGGGTATGTGTTTAAATGGAGAGAGAATTAGTGAAAAGATGATGTGAATGAGAGAGAGTGTAACTTTTTGATTGAATGAATGGAAAAAAAAAATTAAACCAATGTGGATGCCCTTAGTGTGCCAAAGTATTTGCGCATTAATAGACCGACTAGTAGAAGGTGAGTAGGCGACAAATTCCACCAGCCAAGTTGTCGTTTGGCTTTTCATTTTCGTTATATTTGTTAGTAGACATAATATTGTACATCAAAATGTACATAACACTCACATTAAATGGGTCATCCACTAATTTAAGAGTAACTTATCTCAAGAGAATTGCAAAATTAGTCATGTAGAATTGAGCCTACAACATTTTTGTCCTTTAAGCTATAAAAGTGGCCCTTTAATTTATTTGTTGTTATTATTCCCATCGCCATTAAAAACCAACGGGCTGTTAGATGATTGATACAAAAGTAAAAAAATCACAAAATTGGTTCTTTAATTTATTTTTTGTTATTATTTTCATCACCATTAAAAACCAACGGGCTGTTAGATGATTGATACAAAAGTAAAAAAATCACAAAATTGGTCCCATAGAATATAACTGAGTTAGGGGCGATTGTATACAAATTGTACAATAAAAAAATTAATCAAAACTCAAATTTAATTCAACTCCACTATATCTCCAATATATTATCAATATAATTAAATAATATCAACCAATCATTCTTACACATCACATCAACTTTAATTCACTATTCATCTACTCACATAAATTTAACTATCACTTCTAATAATTTTCTCCTACTTTTACATCAAATCAACTTTAATTATTTTATTTTAAATATTATTTTAATATATCCACTAACAACTAATAATATCACCTTTTTCTAAACTTAACTATAGTTAAAAAATAACCAGTTTTTTACTAGTTAATTCATATCCAATCACCCCTTACAAATTTGGCCTCAACTCTTACAAAATCGGTCCGAAATATTTTTTATTGCAAGAATAGTCATGTTTGTTTGAAATATTAGGAACCAATTTTTAATAAAATTTCCAAATCTCTAAATTTTATATGTTGCACATTTTCTTTTGTTCGGTTCGGCGAAGAACATCAATTATCACTGCAAAATCGAAATACTTTAAGAAAATAATCCTAGGCGTAACGAAAAACTAAGGTTTAGGATCAAGATCTTACAGTTTCACAAAAGCCGACTCTACATACTTACATGGACTACAGGCCCAGATGAACAGTTCTGAGATGTTTTTCTACCTTTATTCATCCGCCTCGTACGTGTCACGTCTGATTGCCACAGCACGGGTCATCGATGATCGCCCAACACCTTCGATCTTCTGTTGTATATCCTTAGTCTCGTTCGAACATCGTGTGGGCAACAATCTACCGAAGACGTGTGTTTTAGAACTTTCTCTCTCTCTCTCTTGCGTATTAAGCTAGGGATAGCTACAACTATTGTTTATCGGCACTTGCTTCCTTATTTTTTGCACCGGATTCAAGGACCTCGTATAAATTATTATGCTCAACAACAAAACAGACTTTCAGGAGAAAGAAAGAGTCGACTATGGAGTAGTGCTTAGTGATTCTGTGTAATAATATATGTTTGTGATATGTAGTTTTGTCCTAAACCCTGATCGATTTAAATGCCGAATTCACAAATGATCAAATGTCAGTCAGTAATATGGAAACTAAATCAATAACTCGATATTACAACTGCTCTATATATGGACCGCAACAGCAGTAATGAGGTCAATACTCCTATTTCTCTCTCCTTTTTTTTCATGGTAGAAGCAAAATAAGAGGTTGAAGCCCATTTTTCCAGATATATGCTATGCAAAGGCAGTACGAGATAATCAAGAAGGAAAAATAGAACAGCTATATCTAAAAGAAGAAATTTCTAATACAATTGAATAATAAATAAATAAGGGATGACACATTTCTCAGATCAACTTATCAAATCCCATGTTCAACTAATCCTCTGTAACAAAAACAGTGAGAAATCAAACAAAACCTAATCAAAACTAGCCAACACAAAAGAATGAGTAAAACCCAAAAAAAAAAAAAAAAAGATCCATCACCTACTCCAATTTATTCATGGACTTTGTGGACAAGCTCCTCTTCATCCTGCTAAAGGGCCCCACTGTCCTATCCATAATATACGCATATATCACCTGGCTCCAAGACCTGTACGAATCCAAACTATTATAATACTCGGGCGCAATCTCCTTCACCTTATGAAGCCTACTGCCTGGAATCCTCGGGAAATCATGGTGCTCATTATGGTAACCCACGCTCCACGTCATCAGATTCAAAGGCCCGTAATACGAATAAGTCTCCTGTTCCGAATTAAACACATAGTGTTCCGAAATAAAGTGACCTGCCATCGGGTGCATTCCTCCCCCAACAAAAGTGGACAAAATCAAGTAACCGAGAGACTTCCATCCCCATAAATAAACCATGCCAGCATCTAACCCAACCTGAATAAACAAATTAACAAACTCCCAAATGCCAGGTGGCTTCGGTTTTAGAAAAAGGGGCCGTAGAGCGTAAAAGAAGAGTTGAAAAAGGACCCATATGGATTTCGTGAATATGTTTTTGACGAGTTTGGTCTCGGTTAGGCTCGGGACATCCATGTCTACACCGTCTACTCCTTGGAATCTGTGGTGCTCGAGGTGGTATTTTTGGAAAGTGACGGACATGGGCACGCCTATGGGGAGGTTAGCGAAAATTCCGAGCCATCGGTTGTAGATTGGGGTCGAGAAAGCTAGGTTGTGGCTGAGCTCGTGAATGGCGAGGAAAAGGTTATGGTTGAGGAAGGAACCGAAAAAGTAGGCAATGATTAGGATTTTTGTCCATGAGGCGTTGTGGAGGTAAGTCGCGGTCCATAGCTGGAGAAGTACAACTGCGGCTATCTGAAGTGAAAGTGATGCATGTACAATCAGAAGAAGGTAATGAATATAGCAGATCCTTTTCGTTTTCTTTTCAGGAAAAGGAAAATTGATTCTTGCAAAGATTCAATTGCGTTTTCTGTAGACTTGCTAAATTTCTGAGCTCTAATTAGGACACAACAATGTGATGCAGGAAAACAATGTGCACATTCATCTATCACCACAGAAGGATTACCATTAACTAGGAACTAGACAACAAGGAAATCATGTACAGCATGCTGGTGTATATGTCTAAATCCTCTAAATCGGAAAAATGTAGGCCAGATTAGAAGAATATTAACAATCATTCTTTCCACATCTTATTGTCAATGAGAAACCATATATCATATCAAACAAACTCATTGCATCCAAAATCAAATCTCCGAAAGCACAACATCATAAATCCACCACATCAGAAACAAATACACAGGATTAAAGAAGAACATTGTTCAATCTACGAAACCTCATATCATCGACAACACCTTCAGATCTCATAAACAAAATCTACAACGAGGAACCCACATTTCAGAATTGACTAGGAGCAGATTCAAAATTTACCTTGAGGAAAGCAAAGGGGTCGGGGCCAAAGAGCTGCCTGATTTGAGGGTACTGAGAGAGGATCTGTCGCCGCCGGGAAGCGTGCGGCTCGTCTGTGTACGACCAGAAGAAATCTGTTGCCATCACGCCCTCTTCATGGCCGCTCTCTTTCCCCTCGTACCCCATTTTTTTGGGCTCTCCACTCTGTGTTTATGGCCCTTTGTTTATCTCTGTAATTTTTTACAATCTTTTGTGCAGGATATTTTGTCCATATAAAAGCGGTGGCAAGTTTGTTACGATTTTCTCT